AAAGGCAAAGCCTACCATTTATGCTGAATGGGATGGAAACAGGAACCCTTTTGTAAAACACATTTACGTATTCAGCATAACAGTATGGTTTGTTCTTACTAGTAAGAGTTACAGCCTAGCCTCGTTTGGAATGTCAGTAGAAAGCAGTTAGCGTGTTCATCTCCAAAGCGTTACTTGAAATCATGTCATTATATTTTATTTAATAAAATCAACATTCCTAGAAATATGACTGGTCATAAAAAATCGTGACATCCCAAAAATATGCAACACTAGGGCTGGGGAAATTTTTAATCAAGGTGCTAGGAAGTGCAGGGGAAAAAGCAAGACAGAAGGGGGAAAAGGAGGAAAAGTCATATCAGAGAGAAAGAAAGAAAGGCTGGAATTTGACTTAAGACCTCATTTTCCTTATGCCCTCAAGTTCAGCTTCGAACTTTCTAGTTACTTTTCTGATGCAGCAAATGTTTGCATTTTCTATTTCAGTTTGCAGAGTCCAGGTGAAAATGACAGTATTCCTCATATTAGTATAGCTTTTCACATGTATCTTCAATTTTTGCAGACGAGTTCTGGAGGCAAATATTTGTCATCTGCAAAAGTAGTTTGGCAACCTAATTTATGGGCGTTAATGGATAATTGTTAGCAATTAAATGTTTGATTACCCAACTGGGCCTACAGATCAGCTTGCTAGACTTCCATCTGCTAATAGTTGTGTGCACAGGGGATCGTGGGGCTGAAAATGGAAGTGAAGACAAGTGTTTGCAAGGGGCAAAGCAGAACCTGCAAACACGAAGCTCAGTCTGCTGATCAGCTAGAAAACATGAAGCTCCAACTATCTGTTCTGCTTGTGATTCTTTGCATTCAGAACTGAGTTGCAGGCATCTGCACACATAAGTAGCATCTATTACATTGGAGATCAATCAATCAATCAGATCAGCATGCAACCTGAAGTCCCCATCTGCTTTTGTAGACTGCAGGTAGGCGTAGGTCAGCTCTGTTCTCTAGCTCTGTATAGCCGTCCCACATTTTAATCTGCTGATCATGTAGTCTCTTCAGGATTTTCTCTGGTAGATGAATCTCTGCATCCGTGCAGAGCAGAGGAGTTGAGCTCTGAGAAGCAGTGGGGGTGCGAAAACCACCCAGATAAGCAGTCCTGCAGTGAAGGGTACAGAGGAGTGCCCAGCAGGGTCCTGCCCAACGGCCACATCTGAAACCTGACAACGGAGGACCATTGATTTCCTTCACAGGGGGGATTATTAGTACGGTTTTGAGTAAAAAGACCTACTGGAGTAGACAGATATAAAAGATTATTTGTCCCTGATAACAGACATACACATTACTCATTGAGTTCCTTGTCTGTCAACAAAGATTTGGCCCTTGTCAAAGATTTAAGAAATTGTCCCATACGCTTATTGCATAACCATGGCTTCATTTTTTTGAAAGCTTAGCTCACTTTGTGTATATTTTTCCCTCTATCTCAGCTGAGTGGCCCTCACTGACAGCTGTTATAGCAAACATGTAGAGCAGGAGCAGGAGATACGAATATAGCACTCTTTTATCAGGCACTGCCTGTTAGTGTTTGCATTTAAGCGCTCTGGATGCTGTGAGATCACATAGGAAATATATCACTTCCTGCAGAGGCAGCAGCTCTGTGATGCCCCTGTCCTAAAAGGGAGGACTTGTTAGATGGTGGGAAGATTCTTCAAGCCTCAAGCAAGGAGAGATTCCCATCCTTGGCAGCATGGGAGCAGCACAACTAATCGACATCAATAAGTAATCTTAGCATAAGAAGCAAAGGTTAATGACTAATCTGTTTACCTGAGCTTCATTAATCAAAGTTGTACTAGAAGTCAGAATCCTATTGCCACTCAGGCTCAGATAGATTCACTTTCAGGTTAAAAACGACGACTACGCAAACTGCACAAAGCGTGTAACTCAATACAGAGCAATTTTCTCAGTGTGTGGATGACAAAGGGAGCATCAAAGAGAAAAGGCTCTAATCAGAAGGGATTATATCTGGGCTGTGTGGAGCACAGGGCAAGCCTCAATCTCCAGTGAAGTAAAGAAGAGTTCGACTAGCAGCAATGTCATCAACCATCTGAAATGATTACAAGGTATTTTTGTGTCGTGAAATATTATCTTTTTCTCCACAACAGCTGACTCCTCAATAATAGCACCTGTAAGGATTTCAAAGTTGCCAGAAGATTGCTAAAAATGTTAGGTTAAATATTGAGTGCAGAGATCAGGAAACACAATTCAGATTCCAGGGACAGAATCAGCAGTGCATTACATTGCCTACCCTTCCCTAAGGTACTGCTATGAGGTAAAGGTAGTAAAAGATATCTACTTAATGGCATTATCTGGATCTTCATGTGTGTTGCGATAACTGATGTCCACATTATGATTTTAAGTATGATCCTGAAGTTAAAGGTACTAAAGGAGACAAAAATACCCCCATAGACTCTTTTTGTGGAACTGTAAACCAATTATTACCTCTTTGCAATACTCCCAGGATGACAGTCCAGCTTTCTTTAGAGAAAGCACTGGAGGCAGAAAACTTTCTGATGGGTCCAGTTCTCCAACTCAAAGACTGCTGGCAACAGACTCCAATGTTAGCTCCAGAGATTGAAAATGTGGGCCAGAGTAGGGAAAACAAGAGCAGAACAGATCTTCTTTCCCATGCAAAGGTGATTCACTGAATTCAAAGGATAGTAGCATTTCTCTGCATGGAATTGCCACCACGCCACTAGATCTTATATTTTGTGCATATAAACCTGGACAGTGGTAAAAATTAACGCAAAATGTAATTTCCTAAACTAGAGAATCCAAGACACTTTGCTCTGTGGTGGCCTGGGGTCACTTATCTTGGTCTCATCTCTTGCCATTTCTCGTGATTCCAGTAACGTTTGTGACAAGGGAAAGAATTGCACTACGTAGAGATTTAGTTTAAAGACTTATAAAACTCAGGCTTCATAGTTATCAGTCCAGTCATGGCATACCGCTATTTTCCCTTCCTTGGTAGAGAGACAGCATTGGCAATGACGCTTTGGGATGCTGTAGGTACATCAGTCAGTTGCTGTAATTGCTTAGAAAGTGCTGTAGCAATGGGAAGCTACAAGTGGGCTGCAGGGAGTGCAAGTAGGAGACAGAAGAAACCAAGACCAGACCTATTCCAGGATATAGCTGCAAATCCATCTACTTATAGGAATATATTTTTGTATGTCATGTGCTGTAGGTAATTAATTCAGGGCCAGACTATGAATTCTTCTTCAGTGCTTCACTTTATTCAGATACGAGGCTCAGAAGCTCTTTTGTCTGTCTCTGCCGTTTGTCTGAATCATCCATGTGGTTGGAGGCTCAGGAGAGGGACCTGTTTGAAGAGATTCCAGCTAAGGAAGTCCCAGTCTCAGCTGGAACCTGAAACTACTGCCAGTCAGCAGGGCAAGAGGAAGCACATATACGCTACATTTAACCTTCAGAAAGTATCTAAAACGTTTCTTGAAGTTCTTAACTTCCTTTTCTTCTTCACCACACACCAGCCCACAAACCCGTGAAGGGCTGTTGTTATCAAGTGCTGCACCTCATTTTCTAAAGCATTTTTCAACCACCAGCATTCACGTCGTCTTATCACCCAAAACGGAGTGAAAACGTTGGTTTGTAGAGGAAGACGTCAGCCGGATACTCTTACTGCTTTATCTGTGCACCAGGCATGGATGTCATTATCAGCATGTTGCAAACCTGGCATCATTGTTTGGCATGCCTCAAATTCAGCAGG